TTATTTGGTTAAGAAACTCTTGTATACTACAGTTACATTTGAACCACCTCACCCGAAACGGGAAATCCCTCAATGTGCAAACTGCCAACAGTATGGGCACACAAAAGGATACTGTCACCGCAAACCTAAATGCGTCAAGTGCGCTGGAAATCATGCTTCTGTAAATTGCGAAAGGAAAAGCAGATCCAATGATGTCAAATGTGTTCTATGTGAAGGAAATCATCCGGCCAACTACAAAGGATGTCAAATATACAAAAACCTGCAAAAAAAATGTATCCCCAACTAAGACCTAGGGCGCCGGAAGTACAAATTCAAGAAAATCCTCTTCCTTCGCTAAACAAAAAACACATCACGACTTCTCATTCACCTGAAACATTCGCACAAATAGTGAAGTCAAACACCAGTAGCGAAACAGAGGAGAAGCTTTCACCAATTCCAAATAATTTTGTGGAAGAATTCCGTGAGATGACATCACTGTTGAAGCAAATGATGCAACAAATCGTAGTAATGACAAATTTACTGATCAACTTGACGACTAAACAAAATTCTTGATTTAGTAGTAGTCATATGGAACGCTAATGGTCTATCAAAACATGCTATCGAAATAAAAGCATTTTTAAAATTAAACCAGGTCGACATAATGCTAGTATCAGAAACCCATTTCACGACGCGTAGTTTCTTTAAAATTCCGAACTACGAACTTTATCACACAATGCATCCCAGTGGTAAAGGAAATGGTGGCTCTGCGGTTCTCATAAGGAACTCGATAAAACATTATGAAGCAAAACCATATTGCAAGAATGAAATCCAGGCAACAAACATTGTAGTACAAACTAAAGAAGGCGACATGACTTTCTCATCACTCTACAGCCCACCGCGCCACAGTATCACGAAAGATATGTACATATCATTTTTTTCAGCTGCTTGGATCTAGGTTCCTAGTAGGCGGAGATTTTAATGCTAAACACTTAAAATGGGGTTCCCGCCTAATATCTCCAAAAGGACGTCAACTCTTCGAAGCAATAAATGTACTCAACCTCCACACAATCTCAACAGGTGAACCCACATATTGGCCAACAGATAGAAGAAAAATACCTGACTTAATTGATTTTGCGGTATCAAAGGGGGTACGTATTGAAACAACTACCTGTAAGTCCAATTTCGACTTGTCATCTGACCACTCGCCAATAATAATCACTCTCAATGACTGCTGTGAAATTATGGAAAAATGTATTCTTCATAATAAAAACACTGACTGGAATAGTTACCGTCAACTAATTTCAATTGGTCTAAATACCGAAGTCAGGTTAAAAACTGAATCTGACGTAACTGAAGCAGTAGAGCATTTCAACTCTTGTGTCCAAATGTCTGCATGGGAATCAACTCCACCAATTTCTAAAAGTGTTAAGCTAGATTATCCATTTAACATTAGATACCTGATTAAAGAAAAGCGTAGGATGAGAAAACATTGGCAACAGTCGAGATTCCCTGCGGATAAAACTCGCTTAAACAAACTGTGTAAACTCGTTAAAGCCCTTCTTTTAAAGTATAACAATAATCGCACGTCGCTATACCTTCAAAACCTAAGTGCTTCATGTGATACAAAATATTCCCTTTGGAAAGCCATAAAAAAGAACAACAGACCGATTGTCTATCAACCACCTATACGCAAAATCGACAACTCATGGGCAAAAAGCGATATTGAAAAAGCAGAAACATTTGCGTTACATTTGGACCAGGTCTTTAAATCAAATGATAACCAAAATATGCCTAATGTCATGAATCAAAGGATTAATTTTCTACAAGAGCCTTATCAATTGGAACTTCCAATTAAAAGATATACTATTAATGAAGTTAGAGATGTAATAACAAAGTTAAAAGTAAAAAAAGCTCCAGGATACGATTTAATCACAGGCATGGCCTTGCAGCAGCTCCCACCAAAAGGATTTGTATTTCTCACTCATCTATTTAACGCTGTGATAATAAGGGGGTTTATTCCGCCACAGTGGAAGATAGCACAAATCTCCATAATACCGAAACCAGGGAAAAGCCCAGAAGACGTCAAATCATATCGGCCAATAAGTCTACTTCCGATCCTGTCAAAAGTTATGGAAATCCTGTTTCTAAAGCGCCTTACTCCGTTTATCCAACAAAACAGACTCATACCTGACCATCAATTCGGCTTTCGCCAAAAACATAGCACAATAGAACAAATTCACAGACTTGTCAGACATATCCATAGTGCGATAGATGGTAAAAAATATTGCACTGCGGCATTTATAGATATTTCACAAGCGTTTGATCGAGTATGGCATGAGGGCCTCCTGTTCAAACTAAAACTGTATCTACCTCTAAATTTTTTCATATTTATAAAATCATACCTCTCGGCTAGGCACTTTTTCGTTAAGCATGGAAACGAAACTACAGTACTTCATGTTATAGAAGCAGGAGTACCTCAAGGTAGCATAATGGGACCAATGCTTTATCTTTTATTTACTGCGGATCTTCCCCTTACCGATGAGAGTGTTATCGGTACATTTGCAGACGACACAGCTATTTTATCAGTTGACAGTGACCCAATCAGTGCTTCCACCAAACTTCAAACCTGCCTTGATAATGTTGCTCTCTGGATGATAAACTGGCGTATTAAACCGAATGAATCAAAATCTGTCCAGGTAACATTCACTACAAAACGTTCTACGTGCCCGCCGGTCTTAATTAACAATACTCAATTACCACAAGCTGTAGAAACAAAATACTTGGGCATACATCTGGATAGTAAGCTAACCTGGAAATCGCACATATTCAAAAAGCGTAAAGCCTTGGGTCTTAAATTACGAAACTTATTTTGGTTCCTCAGCCGAAATTCCAAACTGTCACTCGACAATAAGCTGCTTATATACAAATCTGTACTTAAACCTATGTGGAGTTATGGGGCCCAATTATGGGGTACAGCAGCAGACTCAAACCTGGCAATTATACAGCGCTTCCAATCTAAAACACTACGAATGATCACAAACGCACCTTGGTATATAACGAATGAACAGCTACATAAACAATTACATGTTCGAACAATCAAGGAAGAAATAGCAAGTATTTTAAAGAATTACGCTCAACGCTTATATATGCACCCAAACCCTCTGGTTACTCAACTGATGTCCCCTTCCAATACCTTTACAAGGCTGAGAAGAAAAACATCGCGAGACATTTTAAATATGTATATGTAGACAATACACTTTTATTTTAAATATATATGGATATGTCACTGGGCATAGTCCATACGTGCCTTTCTTTTTATATCGTAATAACCATTATTACGATTTAAATTTATATATATTACTTATTGTCATTCATTCCTGACAGATTGTAATAAATAAATGGATTTAAAAAAAAAAAAAAAAAAAAAATTTTTAATAATTTTTTATAGTATATAATAATCTCAAATGCGGTGTTGTGGGTTAATTGGCTTTCTGTTTTATCTATTTTTGTTCTAACAAATTAAAGCATATATCCTAGCAATATATATTAAAGCAATTTTTCCATAACCTACTCGTAACATTTACTTTAAACCAACGAAAGACACAATTACAGCTCTCACTGGTAATATCTTTCCAATCACTGACAGTAGGCTTATTGATCTTCGATTTTGTCCTTTTGGCCAACAGAAGATCAGTCATTGGTCAATGGAATCAGTAGAAGATTAAATATTTAGGCGCTATTTTGGATTTTTATGTAACACCTGAATACTCTTAGATTTTTTTTTCAATTTGTCAATCAAGTCTTTTTTTACAAGTCATTTAAAGCTGACGTGTCGGTGATTTTGTTACAATGGAATAAACCGAATATCACGCAGTGATAAAGTTCTTATTTTTAGAGGATTTGTCAGGAAAATAAAAAATGGTGAATGTGTTAAAACAAACTGCTCCTTAATTTTCAACTATGCATCGATAGGTTTTAGAGTTAAAACGTGGGCGTCCAAGCATTGAAAATGAACCACGTAGTGAGCGTCCATAAAGTGTAAGAACACCAGAAATTAGTGGGAAAGTTTACGACATTGTTTTAAAGAGATCCAAGTTAACTAAGTGCGAAATTGCTGCTACCATAGATATTTCTGACGAACGAGTATTCCATATTTGAAAAGAAGAATTACTTATGAAGAAAGTATTCGGGAAGTCAATGCCGCTTTCGCTGATAATTCAACAAAAACTGAATCGAAAACAAACTTTTCAGCTGATTTTGAAACCGATTTTGTTCATTATTTTATAACTATGGATTAGACCCAATATGATCCTAAACGGAAAGAAGAACATTGACAGTGGAGTTAAGCTGGTTCTTCAGCTCTAAAACA